TAATTAAAGGGTGGAAATAATGGATTATTTTCACTCCTTGTTCAGCAGTTAAAATGTTTTTTGTGCAATAATACTTAGAAATAGAAATATTGAAATTAGAAATATTATAGTGAACAAACTTAATTTTGTAATTTAACATATTGCACCTTTATACTGAAAAGAAACTCATAGTGTCCCTTAAACTCAGATGAACAGTGTGCAGGAGTCTTTATTTTTGGTTTTTAAGACTTATATTCCTTTCAAATGATCTAGTTTCTCCATTCTAGAGTCATAAAAATCATATTCAACTATGTTTTTCTTTCTAAGAAAGCTTCTCTGTACCTTTTACACATAGGCCCTAACCCTACATATTTATATTAAATTTAATGAAAAGTAGATTTTATGATCTCTAATAAAGTATTGTTAAAGTTACAGTACAGCAGTTGAGTAGGACTTACTATTTCCATTATTGTTCAAATTATGAATTCTGACTCTTGGTAAGCTTTGACAGATAGAAACATACATTTAAACTGCTCATAATCAGTGGACGTAAACAGCTCAATATTATTAGTGGAATTAAATCATATTTATTTTATATTAACTTTACTGGGTGAACTGAGCTTTTTCTGCAGTGTTGAGCAGGACGGGAGGTGTCCTCCCCTCAGGGGACACTGTTACTGGGATGGGTCAGTTACTGAGCCACCCGAGCTGGAAGTTCAGTCAGTGCAAAGACAGAAAAGGGGAACAACATGTTGTGTAGCCGGCAACACGTGCAGCCATTTTATTGCTGCTACTAGCCACTGCTAATAAAATCTTCAAGTACACGGTATGATGTTTGTACATACATGATTCATAGTTTTTTTTAGATCAAATAAGTTGATGGTAGAGAAAACTCTGAAAGGAAAACTGTGAGAGTTCAGACACAGTCAACATTTATGTCACTGGAGAGAGAAATTATATCGGTTAGATGTGAAGTTGTAATATTCACCAGGCTGTCAATATTTTGTAGTTTTCTGGTACTGTATCTCAGCTTCTTCATGTTTTTCAATACAAGTAAATCTATCTGTCCCCTTTTTACTTTAGTTACTTGGCATTTTTATTATGTATTTAGACACTGTGCCAGCACTTGCAAAAATTGATTAATTTTGTAATTTTTGCTCATGAAAAACTACTGTTTTTTAAAGGATCCTTTATTCTATATTGTCAGTGTGGAGCTGTAAGGAACAGGAAGGGAGAAATGTAATGCAGCAAACTGGAGAACAGGAAAAAGTAATGATTTGGTTTCAAATATGAAGTCTTTGTTCTTATTTTTCACCTGCAGGTGGCTCTCTAATTCTAACTGTGACCTAAACATTAGTTCACTCTCAGATAAGGAAGTGACAGTAAAGCAGTAGCAGTAATACTACTGCTTTTTTTTAACCTATTGGACCAAACCAGTTTAGACCTAAGGACATACATTTAATACCTAGAACTTTTAATTGTAACATTTCTGAAGAGCTTTACCTTTGTTTGAAACCTTTGCAAGTCTGTTACGGCACATTAAAAATAGTCTATTAGTAATAATTTACATAATAGAGTTGTGACTAATGCTTATTTTTGTTAATTAATTAGCAGAAGTTCTTGATTATTCAATTAATAGTTTGGTTTGAAAAATGCCCATTAACATGTGTTTAAATGTCTTCTTGTTGTCTGACAGTTCAGAACCTAAAAATACTCAGTTTCTAGTCACAGAAGACCAAAAAAGATGCACATTTTCACATCTGAAGAGCTGGAACTAGGTAATGTTTGACATTTTTGATTGAAAATTGAATGCTTGAAACAATTAACAGATTGTTACTGCAATAGTTACAGATTCATTTTCTGTTGATCGACTAATCGATGAATCAACTCTAATACATAATAGGCTACACAGGCTTTTGTTCTAATATTGAACAGTGTCATGGAAATACATAATGTCCTTCCTCAGCAACAAACAAACCATGGAGTTCAGATGAGTAAAATGTCAGAAGGTCAGAGGTCAGGGAAGCTTTGACGCCTGAGTTGACAGGGATGACTGTTTACGGGCAGTGTGCCTCGAGGAGGAGGAGGCAGGGGGGAAACAGAGAAATGGTGAAGCACAGCAAGAGGGAGAAGGAGCGAGAGGGGCAGACGTGCCATATTTACAGTCTTTCCTAGTAAGAGCCCAAGTGCGAACCGTAATGTGTATGTCAGTTGATGTAACCTCCGGCCTCCAAGGCACGCAAGCCTGGGTCTCGCCTGATCCTGGCGGCTGACACGGAGGTGTGAAGTCAGGGGACGTGATGGGGAGGAGGGCGCCTCATGGTGGGGTTACCATGGGTTGAACAAAGAAACTCTGTGAGCTCCTAGGTTTCGGTGTTTGCTGTCAAACCAGCAATTACAAACAGTTTTTGAAATACTGCGTTGACTACATGTGCGGGTATCGTAAAACTTGACTTAGTGTGTTTGACATAAGCTGCCGTGATGTTACAGATGTTGAAGTTAATTCGGAGACATTTGAGTAGGACTTGAGAGTTTTTGTTATTCACAATGCAAAAACGTGCGGTGAAACTTATAAACATTACCGTCATATAAGGTGAGACCATGCAGAGGAATGAGAGCGTAGGCAAGGCGGACAGTATAGAGGGGACAAAAAGTGATTGAGAGAGGGAAAACAGATGGGAAGATTGAATTTTAGAGGAGGGCAGGCGGAGGAGGAGTGCAAGGGAATCTTTTTTGTGTATGTCTGGAGAGAATGGGAGCCTCTTATACACCTCACAGCGTGAACTTGGCGCGGGCTGCGGCCTCGTCTCGTCTACACAGCGGGGTGCTTTCCTGAGCGGGCTGCCCAGGGGAGGGGCACCTGCAGCAGCCGCAAACACTGGTCAAGAGGAGTGCCTGACGGGCGGGGCGAGGGGTGCTAGGATGGAAAGATGCTTGATGGTTCCAGGAAACGGACATGTGCTGGATTTATGAAATCCTCAGGTAGAACAGAGCGACGCTCCCAAAAGAAAATATTTGTCCTTGTGTTTTCCCCGTGGACTAGAGAGGAGGAGGACACTGCCTACAATCTCAGGATGAAATCAAAAGCTTCTGTTGCGCAGAAGGACAAAAGTTATGATTGGAGCAAGTCAGCCGGTGCTGGCAACTACCAAAACAAACAACACAAAGTTTATAGATCGGCCAGCCTGCCAACTGAGACAATATTTTCCATCCATTTGGTTGGGTTGACCAAACACCACGTATTTTTGAAGTTTATCAAACACTCAGTCATCCCCGCAGACCTGAGGGAGGATTTAATCATCTGATATATTGAGTTTTAGAATATGCAGACACTCAAAACCTGTCCACTATGCAGACTCAGAAAATTGAACAACAAGCTCTCTGTGTTTTAATATCTACACTGCTGTTAAGTGTCTTTTTTGGAAGGGTTTCATCTTTACACAAGCTACACCCTCCATCTTGTGTCATTTCGGTATGACCCAGGGGTCCAAAAATCACCATGTCTCATATGAGGGTTCATGATTTCAGACGTATATGAAGCTGGCTCTTTGTCTGCAAGAAATTCCATTTTAATGGACAAATGTGCTGAGAGGGCCTCAGTTGTCTGTGAAAGGTGGATGGATATTGCATTAACTTCACAACAGAAGCGCCCCCTGTGGTGTGACCGCACAGGGCTCTGGGTAATAACTGCACTGGGAACGTTATGCTCAGAGGTAGCCAGGCCAGGTAAATAGAAACACATGGTAGGCAGCGTGGACTACAGAAGGGCCCTGCAGACTCAGAAATAATGGCATCACAGTGCAGAGAAACACAGGCCCTCCCTTGACAAATGCTTTTGGTATGTGTCTCTTCAACCTGTTGGTATTACCAATGCAGTAAAGCCCCGCAGTGCTTTGCGGCTTCTTCTGCAGCCCTCAGGTTTTCTTTTCCTCAGTTAATGTTCCTACATGTATGCACTTTATGTGCAAATAAATAAACCCAAACTTTAAGTTTACTTTCCTCAAATAATTCCAGTCTCAATTTACATTGCATTTAACATGAAATCACTTAAATAAGCAATTACTTGGGGATTATGTTCTCACAGAAGTTACTGAATGTCAAGTCAAAACACAGTTAACCACACTTAATAGAGCTTAATGGTCCTTCTGTGTGATTTGGTCCAACAAAGAAAAACACCATTGACCAGATATGTCATTCGAGACAGGATCAGTGCCACATCTTATGTTCTCCACAGAGTTTGTGTCAGAATTTCATAGAGGTCTGGAATATTATTCACAATGTATGTCTCTTTTTGTAGAGGACAGCTGTTTTTTAACATGTAGATTAAGATGCTTTAATGTGAATAAATACATTGTGTGAGTCTCTAGTTTTGCATTACGTTCATGCATATTGACACATTTGATTTATTTTGTGGAAAGTTGTCTCAGGTTTCCACTATGCATCAGATTGAAAGAGATTTTAAATTTATGCTTAAAGAAAAATACCCTTCTCAGAAATAGTTTAATGGAAAAATTGTTATTTATTTATACGGAGGTGCACAGATGTAGACATGCTGCAAGCTTTAGGAAGTAAGCCTAAAGAGAATAAACAATAATAAACAGAATTAAATTAAAATATGCGTACTTTAAAGTACACCATATATACACGCATACTTTAAAGTACACCATATATATATATATATATGCAGTATATAAATAATAGCTAAATAAAAACAGTGATTGCAATTATTAATAAAATAAAGTGAAGTTGCAGGAGTAGAGTGATAAAACCCAATAACTTATATCTAAGAATTCATAAACACCTTCCTTTGATAAGGGGAGAGATGGGAGATGATATGCAACAACAGTCCCCTACCGAACTTGAACCAGGGACCGTACGATCACGTGGTCAGCATCTTAAACCCCTAAGCCTTGAAGAAGCCCTCACCAAGCCCCACCCCCCACCCAATACGTTTCTGACCAAATCTCCATGCTCAATATCTCCCTGCTCCTTTTGTCCCGTCATCTTATCCCCATCCTGACTCCTTTCTGTCAAACAACAATATTTGCTCATCTGCGTCAAAGAGCAGCAGGGTTTGCGATAGAGTACAGTGCAGCCTTTGAGTCAGACAGACAGAGACAGGCCGTTGCTACAGGGAGACACAGCCACCAGCCAGCGAGTATATACACAGGAACGGGGAAGACCTTCTAGAGTCCCTGACATGCTGACACAGACACACAAATAAAAGTATGAATGTAACTTCAAGGATTTTTCTCCAGAGCACTTTTTCTTTTTTCATACAACACCTTATATGTCTGTTTTCAGCCTCTTTCTGTCTCATTTCATTGTGGTTTCTCAAATTTTCTCTCCTTTTTCACATAGTATTGTCATGAACACCATAACGTGTGATCTTTAGTTATCTTGTGTTATTTTTGCAAGACAATACAGGTCACTTTCTCATCTTTTTCCCCAGTTAAAGATCCAATCACACAGTGGATTACAGAAAGCATATTCTTTATTCAAGGCTATATATTATGCATCATTATAAACATCAGCTACAATCAACACAAGTTGAGGCCATGCAAAGCATTGCATGATTCAAAAAGTACATTTTCAAACCCAACATGCAGGTTGTGATTATAAAAGTCAGTTGTTTTAGATATGTCAGGGTTCAGAGGAAGCAAACAAAAGACTGTTGACCCAGTCAAACATAATTCATTGAGTCAACAAACAATGTCTCAGAAAAATGTCCCAACGAGGTCCTGACCAGTTGTTCAAAAACAAACATTTTCTTTGATAGTTCTCTGAAAACAAGCAGAAGTGCATTAGGGTTTTACTGGAAATGCTTGTAAGTGTGAACATACAGCATAACTCTGCTTTCCTAATGTTACTGTACAATAATACAGTACAGGACAAAAAATATGTTGACTAAATAAAACATTCCTTTCTGTTAAAAAGTCTGTTGATTTGGGTAAATAACTTTGCACAATTAATTACCATAGTAACCACTTGCATTAGAAATACCATATTATCTCTACCACAGATATATAATCATTAAAACATTTAAAACCAAATTATCAATATGTAAACGTGGTTACTACATCAATTAAAGGCAGATTCTTTGATATGACCAAAGTTGGGAAAAGGTTTGCAGATAAAGCATTAATTAGGTGACACATCTTAAAGAAATTGTCTTTTTGATTGTCAAAGCATCTATACAAAGTGCTATCATTTGCTTAGTATTGTTCTGTTTCCTTAGTTTGCAGTCTAAGGATAAATCAATGGTCTTTGGTGTCTATTATGAAACTCAAGGATTCATATACAGTACCTTTTCACACATGTGTACACACTCACATTATTGTCTCTACTGTTAGAGAGACACACACACTACTGCAGTGGACTGCTCTTACGGCAGAGCTGATTTGCTGATGTCAGCGTCTGCCGGTTGCGTCTTTGTTTTCCAGTCAATAGTGTGTAGAAGAACGGATTTACACAGGAGTTTCCATAGGTCAGCCCTGTGAGGATACGATTCACTGTCACCTGTGTCCCTACTGGTACTGTCCGCAGCATGTCGGGCTGATAGAGAGGCAGCAGCTGCCAGATCCAGAAAGGGAGGAAGCAGGCCCAGAAAGCAAGCACAATACCGAGGATGAGGAGAAGGACTTTGGGTTTGGGGGCACGGGGAGGACAAGCAGTGCTGCCCCCACTGGCCCAGGCTGGCCTAGTCTGAGACACCCAGTAAAGCCGGCCTAGCGTAGCATAAAGCGCTCCAATGGCCAGCCCAGGACCAAGAATGCTGGTGCAGAAAAGCACACTCAGATAGGCCTTGGAGCTCTGCTCGTCCCATGCCGGCACACACAGCTGGCCCTCCTGGTTCTCCCCATCCTCCAGGTGCAGGGTGATCATCATGGGCAGACTAAGAGCCACAGCCAGCCCCCAGGCCAGGCCTACACGCAGCAGGCCGGAGGAGTTGGAGGAGGAGATGTGGAGGGGATGGGCCACAGCACGGTAGCGGTCCAGGCTCATGGCAGTGAGAGTGAAGATGGAGGCGTGCATTGTGAGGAGGTCGAGGCTCAGGAGGAGACGGCAGCCCAGCTCACCGAAGGCCCAGCCAGACGCCAGGCTGTCGTACACAATGAAGGGAGCGGTGAAAAGGTAGAGCAGATCAGCAAGAGCAAGACTCAGCACCTGGAGGTGAAGAGAGGAGGAGGAGGAGGAGGAAGAAGAAATGGGGGAGGAGGAAGGGGAGGAGGAGTTGGCCAGGCAGGATGGTACAGGTACTCTCATTAGGCAGCAGGTTGGTCCTGTTCCACATCTTCTCCTACTTCTCCTACGCCTCAGAAGGAGGCCCAGAGTGTACAGGTTTCCTGTGATTCCCAGCAAGGAGAGGAGGGAGAGAAGGGAGCAGAAGAGTGCAGTGGACGCCAGGCTTGGTGATGGAGAGATGGAGGGAGAGGAGGAGGGCATGGAGAAATTGGGAATAATAGGGAAGGTGTATGGGGAAGGTGGAGGCAAAGAGCCTGAGAGGTCCATAATGTCAAATTATAAAAAGTTAAAAAAAAAAGTTGAAAGGAATGTCAGTGAATATTAAATGGTCTGTTTGAGATGTAAAGTAAAATATGCAGAGACAGAGAGGAAGGAGGTGGGATAGGTTGGGTCAAAAGGGAGAAACAGGTGGAGAAAAAGCACATTTTAGCTCACATCAATACTTTCCTTTTCATTATATTCTCTCGTTTCAGAAGATTTTATTTGTTTGAAACACAGAAAATGACAACAAAGCTAAAATCGATTTGGATCTTGCGCCTCAAAGTGATTTATGCACATATGAATCTTGAAACCAGTTAAAGTAAATAAAGTCATATAAACATGTAGTAGAAATGAAAGTGTCAGCAAAACCAGGATGGTTTATGTTTTAGCAGAAACCTGCTCTGATTGGCTCAAGCTTCACAGTTTTATAGTTTCACAGGGAGCCAGATGAGCCTGTCATGGTTTTAGTAAAAATAATTGGATTTTCAGAGTAGGAGGGCTCCAACTGAAGACTGTAAATCTAGACTGAAACCTCCAAACGCTTGCTCATTCTTAAGGTCAGCAGTTGGGATACAATTAGGCTAAGTGAGACACAAAAAAGTAACATGACTCAGAAGTTGTTTCATACAAACAAATCCTAAATGTTAGTTTAGATTTCTGGGTTTGTGCGTTTTTGCGCACCGGTGGTTTGGATGTAGCCCGGGACAATATGCGAGCCAGTGGATTGCGCGATGATGAGGCGACAGGACTAACAACTCGGGCTATATTTTATTGAAAATTCTTTATTTTAAAGAACAAACGGGAATTTTTATTCAGTTTGCTAGTCGGTGAAAGTTTCCTGCCCAAGAAGACGAGGGTGGTAATATATTGTGTTATTTTTGTGAGCCTAACACTTCTCCTCCGAGACAGATGATTTTAACGAAATGTAATCTGCAGCGACATCAAAGCAGACGCGGGGTGCCTGACAGAAACGGCCTGTATGACACATGGTGACCCAGGCTGCACCGGGGTTAAGAGCTACTGTTGAACTATGGAGGAGCAGCCAAACCCCCGCGGTGCTGCGCGCCTCCATACGTTACCGGCTCCCTTTAAATAACAGCTGTGTTATATTCATGACAGGACCTTTCCTACCAGGAAAATCTTTGCAGCATATTTCCATTATTTAGATGAATTCGACCAAATTTCCTTTAAACTGCAGTATTTGATCCAGATGTGTGTATGCATTTTAATTTCATGTGATTTTATAAATAAACCTACAAGCCAATAGCTAGCCTGTACAGACCTAACTGTCATAAATCCGCACTTTTAGCAATACATAAAAAAAACTATATTAGGCCACTTACAATATTTCACCTTAGCATCCACAAACTTTAGAGAGATCATTGATTTCATGCAGTAAAGATTGGGATTTCCATTGAGATATAAATCGCCTGCATAAGGGGCTATGTTTGGGCCTTAATCAGTGCTAAAGAAAAATTAGCAATAGGCCTATAATAAACAATATTTATACAGATCTACTCACAGATATTAACCAGCCAATAATTTGGCAGATTGATATTTCTTCAACTTACCTTAAACCAGTTTAATCACAGATGCTGTAAAAAATAATATTCCTTGGATTTGTTTGGTGAAAATATTCAGTTCCCATTTTGAAATATCCCCTTGAATTCTTCAGGCACCAGATCAGGAGGTGGAGGTCGGAGTATTCCTGGTGACAATCTGCCTCCAAACTTTGGGATCTGCTGTCTGTCCTGCTCAGTGCAGCTCGTCTCCTCAGCTCAGTCTTTGATTTGTCTGAGTCAACGGGAGAGGAGTGTGTGTGAGTGGAAAGGGGGTGGGGTGGGTTTCTGAGTGAGGGGGCTTATCCTGCATATACTGAATATTAATATTAAGTTGTGTTGGCCTCAACTGGGGTCCCAGAACAGAATATATAACAATGACCTTCTTAATCATATGTTTCATTCTACAATAGGTATAAATAACAGGAAAGACATCTGAAAAGTCTATTTTTGACATATCAAACTGGATTTGTGGTTTAAATCTATTTAGTGCTGTCATGAAAATGTTTCTCACTTTAAAACACTCACTATCGATCATTACAGTAATTACAGTTCAGTTGCTTTAAATTATGACTGAAAAAGCATTCCGAGTAAGCCAGGCCACAGCAGAGCTGAGTAACGGTACGAGAATTTAAAATGTGGATATAGCTAATATTAGTGTGTGTTTTTAATTCTTATATTTATAGCCACATTTTGGGGGATTTACAGTAAGTTTAATTATGGTTTGATGACTCTCTAATGGTTCCAATACCTTTAAGCCAGGCATAAATCTCACAGTGAACTCACTGCAAAGACTTTCCATGAAAGTCAAGAATCGGACCATAAATGGTATTGGAACATCATATTTGGGCAATTAATCAGGTGCTATATAAGTCACAGATATGGCTAAGTTTTGAAAGCTACCAATTTATTGTGATGGATTTATAAAAACCTGGGTTTATTCAGTAATAACACTTTTAATGCACTTTTAAGCATACTTTATCTTGGTATGTATATAAAACAAAAGAATAGAGTGAAGAAGATAAACTATAGTCTTCATGGTTTTCCTATTTTTATGACTGACCTCTATTTTAGTCTTTCAGCAATAAATAAAACCTTGTTGCTACAATGCCAATAGCACTAAAAACAAAAGTATGGTCCACATATGTACACCCAGTTGCAATAAAAAAAAGAATTAAATATTGAGCTAAGCATTAACATGATCCTCAATAATTGTACATAGATGGATATGGAGAAATTAGGTTGAGACTTGGATGATATAGCTATTGGACCGAAAGGTCATGGGGTTGATCCCCTGAAACAGAAACAAGTCAATCAAAAGCCAAATTGTCTTTGAAACTCTGTTTGTGAATATCTCAATTTCTGCTTGATACCAGAAATATGTAAGCATTAATACAAAACTGCACAGTTGATTATTCTAGTCAGATTAAATTTGACTGTAGACTTTAGACTCTGTGGGAAGAGAAACGAATGTATGAGCCAGCGTATCATTGGTATTTGCTGTCATTTCATGACGCACTGCAATAACTAATGCACTTCAACTCTGACCCAATGTCAATACCACATCAGCTCATGTTCAAACACAAGGCGCCTCACACCCCCACAAGGGCTTTATATGATGATTTGGTGTTTAAATTATAGAGGAAATTAATTATCCAGTATACTTGCCTGTATCAACATTTGTCCATGTCACAGCAAAGTTTAACTGCTAGATCTAATAAGTGGCCGGACCTTTAAGGTCTGACAACGTCACAGAATAAACGGGTCTTTCAGCAGTTATCAAAAGCAACTTACAGTTGCCTGTTATCCACCGAGTTGTTTTTGGCCCGGCTGTTGTATAACCCACAGCTGTGGTTTGCCAGCTTCAAGAGGCTGAACAACTTGGAAATGATTTAGTTGTGACTAGCCAGTAAAATGTGTAGGCTGTACGCCTCGTGTTGGTGGTGGGGAGTCCACGTTGGCTGCTTCATACATGTGCTGGCGTACATAAGATAGACAGAGACAGGCAGTAAAGACGAGAGAGGGACGGGTGGAAAGGGGGGGACATACCTATCCCCACGGGGTGTGAGGAATTTGAACAAATACCTGGCACAGGCATGCCAAAATAGGGGAGGGGGTGGATGCATGGAGGCATGAGAAGGCTCCCTCACACAAGGAGACGGACAGGTAGAACAACTTAATAGCTGGAAATGGAGAAGGAGGCATGAGTGCCAAGGTGACCAAAAAAGTTTTAATGAAGTGATATCAGGTGTTCTCTGGGTTTTAAATTTGCATAGATTTTGGAAAAAGGTGCAGGAGAGATTATGAACTGTGAAACCAGACATTTGGAGACAGATATTGCTTAACTTTAACATCCAAACATGGAAAAAGAGAATGGGGGGGGGAAAGAGAGTGAAAGTGTCTGAGTACTGTGCTGTTTATTTGTCTTTGTCAGAACACATCAATCTCAGTCTGTGCAGACACATTATATAATTTCTAATTACATTTACCTGAGCTATGGGCTTTGTTCTTGTGCTATGACCTGCAGTGCACGTGTTTCCCCTGTTAATCTGTATCAGTCTTTAGTATGCAAATGTAGAAGGTCTGAAGATGAAAGCACAGAAACAGATGCTCATCAGCTCTCCTGTTCTCTTATTATAAATTAAGCTGTTGAAATAAGGGCCGGGCCATCATTTCCAACATGATCAAATCTATTGCCAATTAAAGATTACTAGCATATTTAACTGGATAGACAAAATCTATATGCATTTATATGTTGTTTTGTTTGCATTTAAGGTTGTAAAATAATTATTTCCTGGCAACAGTCACCTATGATGGTGAACTGAGACCAATAAAGTCTGTGTTCAAGTGCAGTACAGTTCATTTTGTCTGTCAATAACATAAATTACTATATAAACTGACTGACTATATCTTATCAGTTTGGATTTTTTTGGAAAGGAATAACTGTTATTAATATTTCTTTGCTATCATCAGGCCAATGAAGTAGCCAGTAGTTATTTGTTTGGTCATATTCACTGTATAAAGGGTGTACAGGCATTATTTTTCATTATATTAATTAATATAATCATTTTCTCTATTAATCATTTAGTTTACAGAATGTAAGCTAATAATACTAAAAAGTGCATTCACAATTTTCTAAAGCCGAATGTGACATCTTTTAAATAGCTTGTTTGGTTCAACCAACAGTCCAAAACCCCCCAAAATATTCAGTTTACTTTGACAAAACACAAAAAACTGAAGCATTTTCTGAGCCATAATGACTTAAATGGTTAATCAGTTATTAAAATTGTCAACTAATTAATTAACTGATTCAGTATACAGCATATATTATTCTATATGATAATTGTTTTATTAATAGAAAAAGGAAACTGCTGCGGTATCACAGTGGACACCTGTTACAGAACTATGACAGTGAGTGGATTACACTGGAGTCTATGCTTGTATACTGACGTATTTCATTATGCTAATTGTGTGCTTGTCACACAGAAATGTTTCCCTGCCACATTTTATATTCTGGGGGTTTCTGCAGTGTTCGGATATCATGGGGCCAAACGGGCCCTGAGGTGTCTTTGTGCTACTGGGAGTTCACAGGAGGTTGAGCATGTAAAAACAAAATGGAGCTTAAGGTTACACTCACACTCCCTTGAAAAAACAGTCTTTATTATTCTGTATATCTTCATCTATTTACGCAGCACACCCCGAAGAAGGGGCTGTAACACGTCCAATCAGTGGGTAGTCACAGTATGAGAAACGCCCCAACACGTAAACATTATCAGCTCCCTAACCTTTTCCTGGCTGTCCTTGCTCTCTTCATTCATTTCATTAATTAGCTTACCCATTTCTGAGCAAATTGACAAATTGCCTGCCGGTTGACCGTCCTCAGTCTCGTAGTCTTGATTAAATGGGTGGACATTTTCTTCTGTGTAACAAACGGTTGTTGGACCAGGCTGATTCACAACTTGTGATGAGTTATTGATCCCCCCCCTCCCCCTTCTGCCTGTCTGTCTTTACAGTTACACATCAAATTTCTCCCGTTCCCTCAATACCAAGCCAAGTGTTTGTACTGTGAGTACACACTGAGATTTAGATTTTATACATTGCTTTGTGGAAGTATATTTAACACATAATTGACAAGCCTCCATTTGCCTTTTGAATAAGATTAAAGTAAAATGAGATTATTTAAATGATAGAAAATAGTAAAGCTGAAATGATTAGTCGATAAATTTGTTGTTTAATTAATTGGCAAAAAATCATTGCTTCCAGCTTCTCAAATGTAAATGTTTCCTCCTTTTCTAATATGACATTTGGTTGGACAAAACTGGACATTTTAAGACATTGCCACAGGATCTGGGAACTTGTAAACTTTCACTATTTGCTGACATTCTTTAAATCAATCATTAATTGAACAATTAATCAGTTAATCAAAAAAAATAATCTGTAGAGTAACTGATAATAAAGATAATTATCCCTTATCCCCTAGAAAATACCAACTGATCTTGTTTTAGCGGTCCTTTGTCTTTAAAGTGATTCAGCAGTACAGTTCACCCTCCTTGTCTGAGTGCAGGGGATCTGTCTTCTGTTGGCCCCTGAAGTAAGTCTGCAGAGGGCAGACACCACACATTGAACCAATATGCGCTTACCCCTGAAATCACGGAGCATTAGATTTGGACCTTGTGTGACCATGACAAAATCTGGAACCCGTTACAGGTCGCAGCCAGAGTCTGCTGCTCCATCTGCAGAAATCGGATCAGGCTTTCACAGGCCCACATGGAACCTTATCACAGCAGAAAGCATCTAACCAGCCAGCAGGGAAATAGACTCTTGCTTACCACGCAGGATAGTTTTGTAATTTCTTTCCCATGATTTACTATGAATAGGTGAAACTAAGTAATGACATAGACTATAAAATGACTTAAATGACACATCATACAAAACTCTCACTGATAGTTCACAAATAACCTTTAACTTGAAAGGAAAATTCTACAAATCCAAATGTGTACGCAGGTATTGTTTCTCTCTTGTTGTCTCTTTTTTAGCATCTTTCAAGTCGTAAAACACCCTAAGGTGTGAAATTCTCTTTTAGTGTCTGCACAGCTGCTTATTTTAAATCTTGACTTGTAATTAGGCCCTCAGAAACCAGGTGTGTAGCCTCTGGTCAATCTGCAGCCATCCAGTCTGATAATCACTAATCACCAGTTTACCAGAGTGAAAACTTTCAAGTCCTAAACTGGCACTGATGTTTAACTGCAGGCTCACTCATGGATGCCAAAAATTGCTTCAACCTGCCCACTGGTGGCTCAGAGTCAGTATTGCATCCCCACAGAGTACTCTCCAATAATAATAATAGATTAATTATACGGGCGCCTCACTGAGGACACACACAGGCCCATACCCCTCCTCACTCTGCCACCCCGCTGCAGATATATCAAGTTTCCAAATCACCGTTGTACATTAAATGATTCATTGTAAATACCACTCAACCCATGATTGAAGCTAAATAGTGGAAATATTGACTCACCGTTGAGCAGTTAGAAATGAGCTGCTGCTGCTTTTCTGCTTCATTTCTAGTCAAACAAGTAGAAAGGAAAGTTTAGTCCCAGATGTACATATTTCTCTTTGTTTATTTAAGGCTGCCGTGCCTGCAACAGTTTACCACAATCAAAGTTACATGTTATTTACATGACACCAGGAAGTCCAGTCACAGTTTACCAGTTTTTTTTACACAATTGTATGCCTTTTGCTGGAGAATTTACTGGAGAGAGATAAAGTGAGCCAAGAGATAGAGATGGTAATAGTGTACATTTAGCAATAAAATAATTCATGCCAATACACCTTTTTGAATTTGAGATTGGAAATAAAATTTTTCTTAAAAAAAAAAGTCTTGACCCTCTTCTCATCATAAAGTCCCAGAAAAACGCCTCTAAATTGATTTTCAAATACTTTTCTGCCATGTTTGCACTCTCTCTCTCTTATCCCAGCAACCAGCCTGATACACAAAAACAAACCAGGATAACATTTCTAACACTGTCTACAGTCTCATATATGGCTTCAACAGAAGGGACCATGGAGTGATTAATTCATTTTATCCTCTTAAAGGTCTCTAGTTTTCCTGAACCTCGTGTCTTTCTGATCACTCACTCATTCACAAAGTCTGACATCACCATGCCCTCCCCTGTTAGTTTCTCTCTCTCTCTCTCTCTGCCTCGGTCCCCTCCTCCCGGACAGTTTTCCATGGGTCAATTACAATTAGTGTTTTTACACAAACACAATATGCAATTTAAATTAACAGAAGGTGCCCAGTTGCAAACATAATCTATGTAACATCCACTGCTTTTATTTAAAGATTTCGTCTGAGCAGATAAAGTTTATATCCACTAAAATGTGATGTTTTTGATGTTTTTGCTGTTTTTGATGTTTATGTTGTTTATGTTGTTTGATGCATGCTGATTGTTGTGTCTGCCGCATTAGTCTCTTTTTTTGCTGTTTTTTTGCTTTTTTTGCCCTCGGTCATCTTCAATCTGATCCTTTTTTTCCATAGAATGACGGAGCTCATGACATCATAGGTCACTTCTTGGGCACCTGAGATTAAATCAGATTAAGTATTAGTAAACTCTCTTTCTCTCTCTCTGTC